TTATCTGATCAGAACTTTTCAACGATATATTGAACTCTATGACATGAAGGCTTTCATAAAAATATTGCAATTGCGTACATATTTTTCTTTTCGTATATTCTGTACAGTTACCGTTCATCGAATGTTGATTTATGCGAGTCAATATTAATAAATTTTTATTTTAGCTCAAAAAATTCTTATTGCACTCACGGAACAAATGTTAATTTAATTAAAGTCAAATTTTAACAGCAATTGTACAAAATCATACGATGAATAAAATAATATCTATTTATAATTTACATCCAACAGTGAAATAATGTCAATTTAGACTTTGGAGTATTTCATAAATTAACTAAAACAGAGTTAACCAATCTTTTTTTTTTTTACCTTTTTTTTCTAGGACCATAAAAAGAAATTTCTTGGCTAGCCAAGTAATCGTTTTTTAAATGATTTTAAAAACACGATGTTCAGGGTCAATTTTTCTTTTTCTTTTTTTTTTTTTTAACTTTAAAAACTAAAACCACACAATACAATTACAATAAATAAATTAATTAATACTTTATAAATAGTATTGGATATTGAATAAGTTTTCATGCAAAATGATAACGATAAATACGATGTTATTTATATTTAGATAATGTACGACGATAAGGCTGCGACACAAGGTCATGTCTGGTTAACAATGTAATTGGCAAAAATAAATGAAAAATATTCATTTATACTAAATTCTACAAATATTGCATTTTTAATACAATTTTAATTTAATGTTTTTTCAATTTTTAAAATTTGAAGTTTTTTTTTTTATCTCATTTTAGTACTTTGGCGGGTCTATTAATAAAATATCACGGGTTGTTGTTGGTCACAATTGGACTAGAGAATCCATAATGGATTCACTAATATTCAATCATACATAAGCTGTGCTCAAGTTCAGTGTTTTAATATATTTTATTTGTAGATAATTTTTGATCATTAAATTAAATTGTAACATGAAAGTTATAGAGTAAAATACTTAGTGTTAAATTTGTCTTGTTATACATTAATAATAATAAAAATATTAATAATACTGACTAATAAATCGATAGTATTGAAAGGGATTATAAAAATATTGATACATGATCGTATTTGACACGATTAAAAAAAAATACATTTAATATGATTGATAGCCACTAATGAAAGAGGATTATTATTTGTATTTTTTTAATAAGGTATATCATTATACTGTGGTAGTTGTATGGTCGGCTAACAAATTTAAAACAATGTAAATAAATTATTTAAATATCGTTACAAAGAAGATGCATTTTTTATTTCAACAAAATACAATGAAAAACTTATTTCATATTAAATATTCCGACAAGTTTAAAAGTTAAATAATAACAGTGCCTTCTTCATAAACTCAGTTGGTGTAGTGGGGAACGTTGGTTTTTATTATTACATTTCGATTGGATTACATTTTAAAACGTACAAATATTCAGGTCATGGTTTTTTAAATATGACATATTTTTAAAGACAAGACGTGTGCACATGTATATTGAATGTCACTTGAATTTATATTGATGAACTGTGTAATGCAAACACTTCCTGTTCTACAAGATTTTCTCTGCAAAGTAGTGCGGTTTCCTAAAATATGAAAGAAAAAACTCCTATAATATTATCATGCTGAAAATAAAGACGTACACTCAACCTCCTCGTGATTTATATGATTGCACGTGTCGCGCCAAAATAATTCTGTCACCATATTATATCAAACGACGTAACGGGCGATACGACTTTGGCGGTGTAACAAACGATTGGCACAGTTGTGCAATGGTTTAGCACGATCCATTAAGACGTGTAATATCTCTGCAGTGTGTCACAAGACAGACAGTACATAGCGATAAAATAGTGTATATCGGTTTAAAATGTTTAAATGAATAATATAATGCATAATTCGTTTAAAGGATGGAAAGACAGAGGAGAGCGGAAACAATTGAACATCCCCGTTGCTTATCGCAATAGTGCTTAGACTAATCGACCATAAGACAAATTTAATAGGAATACATGAGAATCGATTTCCAAGGAAAATAATCAAATTGTCAACAGCAATAATGGCCGCACATTATGGCCGGTAAACCGCAGTATTGTAAATAAGACATTAGTATCGTTAATATGGATAGTAAAAACAACGAGTCCACATAAATAATTTTATAAAGCTATTACTCTTGTAAAATAGTTCCTCGGCTCTCAATATATACTACGTTGGGTGAGTTATCGACAATTGACGACTATTCGGACAATAAAAAAATCTTCATTGCTTGCCCGTTGATCTAATTTGTAATTTAACTGATTACACAATATGCACATTTAATTAAATCGTGATTAAATTTTCGATGCAAATCATAAAAAAAAATGTATTTTCAAAACAAAATAATAGGCACTTAATATTGTTAATATTATTTCATGATAACCGTATTGAATACAAGACTGACCAATCAATATTTTAAAATATAACAGATCTGTTAATAAAATATACATTTTTTAACTTTTAATTTAAAACTATGTTATTATTATCATGTAAATTCGCACAAACTCGGCAATTCCAAAAAAATATTTTAACTATAAATATTAAAATCAAGTACTTCATTAATTATAGTAAAACAAATTAAACAAGAATATGTAAAGTAATAATAAATATTGCTAAATTAAAATATTGAGACAATATCTATAGTTAAGTTTGAAATATTTTTATGAATTTTAAATTATGTTTAAGTATACCGTATAACATTTTAATCGATAAAATGTTCTTGAAAAAAATTAAGACACTTATTAAATTAAAAGATAATATCACATTTAATCTTATCTTCATTAACTAAGTTAAAAAAAAAAAAGGAAAACCATTGAAAGAAATTAAAGATTTTAACTAGGAATTATGTTCAAAACCACGTTGCAATTTGTGACACAGGTGCAAGTTGGACAACCTACTTTGGATATTTTAGCATTGTGCATTATTTACGTCTTTAATAACGAGTATTTTACGCGTATACCAAACATTTGTTACATTATAACTTTATAATAATTACAGTAATAAACTGTAACGAGTAACCATAAATATGATAGGTAGAATGTAGGTATATAGCTATCGACCGAATAGATGATTTATAAAATATATATAATAATGATAATAAGGGTAATAATAAGTTAGGTTTGCCAATTTTAGTAGATTGTCAGTATTATAGCGATCGATATACATTTAGATATAAGCTCTTTTTATACAGTAGGCGGACAACAAGATCATTATAAATAATTGTACATAATTGAATGTGGATTGGTTAAGTTTTTATGACTGTAGACAGATTAACAAACAACTATTTGCAAATGAATCACATTAAGAAATTGAATTTGACTACGTCAATACAAAAAAAAAAATGAAAAATTAAATAATTTAACTAAAAATAAAAATTAATAATGCTACAGTTGTTGAAAAGAAATTGTCGGGAACCAAATTTACGTGGCAGTGTTGTTAGGCAATTTTACCACGAACCACGAAGCTTTAATATGTCGTCAATAATGGATGGCAGGCAAACGTTTGCAATATCTAGTAATAGATCTATGAAAAATACTGTTTGTAGTTTTAATTTTTAATTTATGACCAAATGTATACTTTGCAAGGTCCAAATGACGCTACTGCCGTCGATCGCTATATTAACTTATAAATTATTAATTAACCAAACTCTGCCTGGTCAGATTATATTTAAATTCCATTATGGGACAGTTATAATGAAACACTATGCTGAAGGACAGCGATGTCTGTTGAGAACAAAAGATAATATTTTGTATACAATATACGCACATACTATCATATTATTATTTTGAATTTAATTAAAAATTATTCATTTCATCTTATAAAAATGTGTATCGTAATCATACTACAAACAAAATTAAATATAATAATAAAAGAAACAAGGATTTGGTTATACTAGGTATTTGTTTATAATTAAAATTAGATATCCTAAATAGCTGTTATGAGATTATCTAACCGCATTATTAATTATCTTAGTTGAAGATTATGAACATGTTCATGCATGTTATGAAAATTGGTTTTATTGATAAATAATTTAAACAAAGGTAAAAATATAATAAGAATCAGTCAGCTCACAGTTTTCAGTTGTCCACTATAATAAATTACTTATTTTAGTTAAAGTAGTAATACTGTAAAAGCAAATTAAATTTACTTAATTTTACTAACGAACGAGTGCCAACATCATCATTTATTTTAACATACATATATATACAGGAAGTAGAGATTTTAAATTAACGACGTATACACAAAGATAGAGTTTACCAAAATTAATTAGGACCACCGTCTTATTCGTAATTACGTGTGCTTAAAATACCCAAAGTTCCACACACCCACATATCAATCAATTAAGTTGTCTTTTAATTAGTAGGCGATCGTATTTAAAGCTATATTAACGCTTTTCTAATCATTTTAGATGTTTTTTTTTTGCAACTAGAATTTATATTAATCATAATCGACCATTATCCTCTGTGTGTTTTTTTTTTGTATATGCGTGATTCGTCAAGTCGATACGGTGTGGTAACTATTATAATGAGGCCTCTCATAACTCAATCACCTCTCTCCCTAACTACTCATACAATAAAAAATGTATTTAGATTAATCAAATCTGGCGAAATACTGATAAAAAAA